CCTCTCTCTCTCTCTCTCTCTCGCCCCACCACGGCTGCCTGCCGATGATCACAACGCCCCCCTGCAGACGTCCCACGGCACGACGCGTCCCCGCACAGCCCCCGACAGGCGCCGCGCCTCATCTAGAAACCCGAGCCGCGTGGACCCGCCCTTGCCCTACGTCCCCGTGCACCGCCGGTCCCCGTGCGCCCCCAGACCGGTTCGCCCCCAGACCGCCCGCCGACCGACCTCCAAACCGCTGCGCTGCTCGGGTGAATCGCTGCGCGAATTCCTACCACGATACCGATACCACGCTACTGGTCCGCTGCCGCTCTCGCGTGTGGGGCCGTGGCAGCGGCCGCGGGTCTCGCATCTCTCACATCTGGGAACTTGCCACCACCACCGGTGTCTCACGTGGGCCCGTCACGCGAGACCCGTGTTTTCTTTTAAGGTATTAGAGATGGGGTTGTCTAATAAATTATTATAGAGAGAGAGCATGTCCGGACCTCCCAAAAAAGCATAAACGGGCCTAAAAAAAAAACAAAACAATTTTGGGGGCTTGGCTCCTTAATGGGGAAGGGTCCTGGACTGTTTTTTCCTTTTTTTTTCCCTCGAATTTTGGCAGATCCGGACCTTCCAGCCCATACGTCTGGAGTCCGGACTGAATCCGGACCGTCTGGACGTCCGGATCGTAGCCATGGTTTTAACCTTTAACTTGGGTCCCGATGGGTCCTGTCAAAAGCAGAACACTGGGTAAGGCTCCCAGATCCGGTCTTTATGAGGGGAGGCTGGCCCATGTTAAAAAAGATTTCAGCAGGTGCTTCTCCCCACTAATAGATGGAGCCTCCCCCACGGTACTAGCAGTGTCTGCTCATATCAGCACCCCTAGTAACCTGAAGAGAGCGTAAAAAAAGAAGAAAAAAAAAAAAAAGTTAAAAAAACAATTTAAAACATAGACAAATGCCTACTTTCCAGATTGATGGTTCAGCATAGGTCATGTCATCTGAGTTCACGCCAAAGGATAAGATCACACAAACTGATGCCTCAATATTATGGACCATGCACAGTCCTAGACATTGTTGGAGATGATGCTGATGATTCTACATATGTGATTGATGTCCCTCCCCACCTTCGCAACTACCCAGCTGTTCATGCATTGAATCCCTTGCCTTTCTCAAGGAATCCATTGCCTTTCTCAAAAAGTGATCAGTGTCCTTCTAGGACATCTATGCTGCATCCAATGATGGGGCCGAGTTGATGTCGACGAGATTGTGGAAGACAAGCTGTTGCATGTGCCCAAGCCACCAGGCAGAGGAAGACGACTCCAGCCTCAGTTGCAGTTTCATATTCGCTACAGACATCATGTCAATCCAAATGCAGATGCGTGGTTTACCAAAGAATAATTGATTGAGTTTGTGTGCCAAGTAGTTTCACAGTATGAAAGGGATCTTAAACCACTAGTACCTTTGCCGTTTCGTTTCGGCAAGTTTTATTAGCCTATTCCCGAACTTTTAGGAGGCTGGGCCTGACAACGGCTGCCGTTGATAAATCTGATCGGCGGCCATCGTTTCGTTTCGGCCTCCTGAAAGTTCGGAGGCCCACCATTTTCCGAACCGACAAAGATATGCAAGGAAGATGAGCAATAGCGAACTTCAGAGATCAAACAGCATCATACACATGAGACCAGATAATCGTGACCTCGAACCAAAAGCAGAATTGCATCACGAGTTTCACCAAATAAGAGCACACCAAAAGCTCATAATTGATAATGCTGGAATAGTCTCATCATCATCAACGAAGAACCAATGTTGATATCCTATCTGGCACTCGGCGCCCAGACTACGAATGGCAGATCCTATCTAGCCTAGACTACAATGCCGCTGATGACATCAACAGCTTCCCAGGTACGAGCAGATCTCAGCCAATGCCGCACGCCTCAAGCACCAGGTATGTCTCTCGTATCACTCACAACCTCATTCCCCAACTCACAGATGCCACTTGCACCCAAGGACCACCATGCGCCCCATCCAGCATACAACAGCGCAGCTCGGCTATGGCTGCCTGCTCCTTCCAGCTCGCCTGTGAGCGCGTGAGCGGTGGCCAGCGGTAGTGCAGCAGCGCTTGCACACAATGCATCCAGTGCCCGAATATCCAATGTGTAGGCAGGCCCTTCTCTATATCGAAGTGCCCTGCTGCTGCGTGCGGTAGTGCGGTACTGGGCCCTGGCCCAGAAGCTTCCGGTAGGCCTCACGAGGCTGAGCCTCAGTTCGAAGTAAGCAGGCCCAGGGCCTGTGGTGGTTACCAGCACCAAGTGCCCTCAGCCTTTGTTCGGTCCTCTTTGTGCATCCGGCCCAGTGCCTGCCTCAGTTACACGCGATGAAAGGCAGCCTGGGCCCGGGGCGCTTCCAACCAACTGGCGCTGCGCAACTGCCTGAATTTCCCCAGTTGCGTGGTGACCCCAAAATGGCCTGTAGGCCTCGGTCGTGCGTGCCTTCACTTGGGGCGGCCAACTGTGTGAAAAATAGGTCCTGTAGGGCATATCGAGGCCCTGTGCCTCGCAGATACTAGTGCTTTAAGGAAAACCAGAAGAAACGACAAGCAGAAGGATTCTCAAGAATCTCAACGGATTTTCAAGCCCAGACGGGCGGGAATGACAGGCCCCAGGCCTTGGCAGTGCCCAGAAAAACTGCCAGCGGAAATGCAGGCCTGCCCTAGGTAAAGGCCACATCAGGGGAATACACCACCCTGATGGGATACCGGCTCGGTAGTTCCGTGGGCTGGGACACAGTCTTGGACCCAGGTCAGTTGGGACTGCCTACCGGAGGTTGATCTCCCCGCCTCACTAATGCACATAGGCAAGTACACACTTAGTACTCCGCATGGCAATCGTATCACATAGGCACTTATGCACATGTACAGTCCTCTGCGGCAGTGCATTTGCAACTTCAGTAGCCCCCTGCTACGGTTTGCTCTGGCCAGGTTGACCAGCAGTGGTCCGGGCGGTCATGACGTGCCCCCAGGGGTTTGGCTGGAGTGTATTTTTGGGCTGTGGCAGACATTTATTCATTTCCTGAGCGGGGTGCTGGCTTGTGATGAGGTGTGAACCTGCAGTCCACACAGTATTCTGTCTAGTGCGGGTGGATGATAGTCTAAAGTTTCCTATTTCGAAACTACCCCTTACCGGGACATAGAAGACACAGGGCAAGTACACACTCAGTACTCCGCATGGCAATCATCATGTAGGAACTTAACGCACATGCAAACAAACAGCAAAAATCTCCACAGAACATCGAAATCTCAGCATCAGACCATCAATCAGCAATACTCAGAAAACAGCTCAAATCTCTGACTGATTCTGTGCGGGTGATTGGAGATTCCACGACTTATGTATGGGTCTGTGTTATCGCCCTAGTATCATGGAATATTTATAACTTTTTTTGTTTTTTTTCTTTTTAAACCACTAGTACATCCGCCAGTGTTGGGAAAATCGGAAAAACTTGCAGTTTTCCCAAAGTCCAAAAAAATTGGAGGCTGGGCCCCGACGATGGCTGCCATTGATAAATCTGATCGGAGGCTGTCGTTTCGTTTTCAAATTGGCCTCCTAAAAGGCCGGAGGCCCACCCGAGGCCCACTATTTTCCCACTCGGCAAAGGTACTAGTGGTTTAAGCAAAAAAAAAAAAAAAAAAACGTTAGACAATTCATGTCATGGGTGTGATTCCCCGAAACAGTATGTTTAAGAGAACATGGTGAAGGGAGCCCGTTGGGTTGCAGGGCGCTGTAGACAGTGAAGATTTTGGTGTTGTACAGTTGAGCAGACGGATAGGCAGGCGGGAGTATAGACGCGGAGATGGGCGGACAAACGGATGGATAGGTGCAGAGACCCACCAACGGGCGCACAGACAGATGGAGGCAGAGAGATGCCAGCCATACCTCAACACAGTCTTCTGCATATACTGCGCCAACACACTTTCCATCATCATCAACAACAGGTATCACTGAGCTCTTCCAGAATCGTGTTGCCACATCTGACACCTGCAAGTTAGCAGGTACAGGTCGTAATTGTTTAATTGAGATCATTGCCTTCTCTACCGGCACATCGGGCGACACCTGCAAAATGCCAAAACAGGAACAAAGTTAGTGCAGAATGTTCCTGCCAAAACATCGTGCACACTAGGCTTTCCCAAGATGCATCTGATGATCTGACCATAATTGACACCAGATTCAATTGAAGTCCAGGGTGAATACACTCTGAAACGTTTTCTAAAGGTGTCACAATTTGGCTGGGGGGAAACACACTGCGGCCCCAATTCGGAATTGTACCGAAACACATTGTCCGGCTTTTTCAGTATTGTATACACTATCAAGGAATTGGTTCAATTGGTTGATGCCGTGAGCATCAACCTTAATAAGCCTCCAAGACCCAAGGACGAGCCAGTACTCCCAAGTTCATGCCCTAGCCAACCATAGCTGTTGTGAAGATGATGGTGGCAACAGAATTGAGAAAAAGTGCCCTTTCTACCAAGCCCATGTGGCTGAGCGGTACATACGAGACCGTTAAAAAACAGCTCATTCGTTTGAATCTTGATGGAATCAGCTTGATTTATTAGCAGGCTTCGGGACATTTGTTAGAATTGAATTATTGAAACGAATACAGAGAAGATTAGCATGGCCCCTGAATATACAAGGATGATGCACAAATCCAGAAACTTTCCAAATAAAGAGAAAAGTGAAAAGAGAAAAGAGATGCGCGGCTTCAGACAGACCTCTGCGAGCCTCAACATGGGCTGCCCAAAGAAAATAGGCCTAGCCCTAAGTGAAGGCCGCGTCAGCAGCAAGACAATCCGCCAGTCCTGAGTGAAGGCTGGCATGATACAATTGGAAGGAGGTTTGGGCCCCAGCCTCTCCAACTAACCAGTAGGCTCAGCCTCTGAGTTATTTGCAGAGGAGGTTCTTCCTAACTGCTACCTGGGCGCAGCTGCTCCACTCCGCTTTGCTTTGTCTTTTTGCACCTAGCTCCATTATGTCTGTGCATGTCAAAAATTATCCACTCACTGTCGGGACCAGCTGGTGAAACGAATGCTACTGCCTTTTCTGGCCACAGCTCCTTTGTCAGTGTTGCTCAATCCCCCATTGATAATTTGGTACCCCTGCTTAGCTATCTCACCCAACCCTGTGTGACGGAGACCAGGATGTCATGGCGGTCGGCCAGTAGGTTGTGGTAACCCTTAGGTACCTCCCTCCCTTAGTTCGGTTGTCGGTTCTCCATTGCCTATGGTCGGTCCCCCAGATATGCTATATTTGCCTGACTGAGACTGACTCCCTTTTCTAGCCATGAACCCCGTCTAGATTCCTCGGCTGTCAATGTTACGGGTTTCCCTTGCAGGTTCGTTATCGGTTGCTTGCAAAACAGTGGTTGTCTTAGTATGTCCTCTTTGGAGGCAGGGCGTCTTTAAGCAGGTATGACCAGTATGAGTATTCTTCACCCTGAGGGTCCTCCAGTTCCGTAATATTCGTCCTTTGCCTGGTCCACGACTTGGACATGATCTCAAACTGATCCTGCATATTTGCCAACGTTAGGTAGTAAATTTGGCTGTTTGTCTTATTGGATGCAGTCCTAGCGCATACCAGAGAAGGATGCACTGGGATAGGAACGTAAGAATCCATTTATTCAGTAGTGCCTTGATTTGGATTTCTGGGTCTTATATGCCGGTCCTCCTGGGCTGCACAGTTCGATTGATGGCCGCTATGGAGATTGATCTTCATGAAGAAGAGGATTCCAGCAAGGTGGTCAAACATGTCATCGGCGAGTGATTTTTAACCGTATAGTGGTTCAGGCCACAAACTGGAAGGGTACCGCCTTGTTTGCAAGTGAACAAGACAGGGGGGCGGCCCAAGGGGAGGAACCCGCTTTGTTAGGATCCCGGTCATTTCCAAAGTGCAAATTCACAATGAAAGACAATGCCACCAAATTGCGAAGGAAATGAAAGCACTTGCAAAGAGATAAAGACCGGAGGAGAGAGAAAGAAGAAGAAGAAGAAGAAGAAGAAGAAGAAGAAGAAGAAGACCAATGACAATTTCCCCCTTCTCTCTCCACCTTCCTCCTCCTCCTTCAATCCGCCAATCTTATTCTTCTCTCAACAATAATAATAACAATGAATGGATGTACCAGAATCAATATCCGAAGTTCCCCCTTACTGCTGACTCAACTCACAACAACAACAACAACAAGAAAGTCCACCATGRCCATGGCTTCCCTCCTTCAACCTCCTCTCTCATGCATAGGCCATGGMGGACTACTGGGAGGCAGCTATGATGCTGCGCTGATGTCCSAAGACAACCCAAAGCAGCTATGCCGCTGCTTGACTTGGTCCGCTATGCCTGACTCTGCCTTGAGCTGCTCTGGTGCAGCGCTACCCCAACTGGGGCCTTCCAGATGCAGCGCCCAACAAGGTGATGAAGACGGTGTCCACCATAGCCAGGTAAGTGCCCTACCACTCTCCTACCATGCCCCCTTCTTCCTCCTCCTCAAGCTGGGGTGCTCGCCATAGCCAGGCTGAGCCGCAGYGGACCTTCACCTCCAAGCAGCGCTGCTTCAGTCCAGCGCTGCGCTCCAGCAGSATGTCGCCAATCCTTGCATACCGCAAATGAGGAAGAGCTCTCCGCTCKTCCTGAAGATATAGCGGCCTACCGGCCTCCTGGGCGGTGACTTCCTAGGCCGAGTGGCCTCCCAGCAACCGGTACCTCCTCCCTTTCGGAGGGAAACATCATTGCAGGCTCTGTTATTGTCCGCACAGGCCCTAGACCCGGGCTWCTTGGACTGGTACCGACCTACCTCTAACCTACCGCTACTGGGCCTCTAAAAATGCCAACTTTTTGTCTTCTTCTGCTCGGCCTACCTGCTACTTGAGTGTTTTTCCCAAGCTGCTCTAAGTGCCGTGGGCCTACCCCCCGCTACCGGCGTGTTTACCCCCCCTGCAACCCTCACAGTCACGGCCACAGGTAAGTACCGGCCCGATGGGGCCTTGCAACCAACAAGTACCCTTGCGGGTCACACACACATACCCAACCGGCAAGCACACAGTCAGGCATGCAAACCAGCAGGCACGCACACACACTCATCCGGCAAGCACTCAGACAGGCATGCAAACCAGCAGGCACACACAAACACAGACTTGGAACCACAGCAGAATGCGGGAATCACAGCAAGGCATTCATTCCAGTGACAAATCCCAGAAATCAGCAGTGTTCTCAGTCTGTGTTTTTGTCGGGTCATTACATTACTCCCCTCTCGAGAGCGAGGTCCCTTCGAGCGAGTAACTCAGTCAGAGTCGGCACAGAACGCATCGCATGAGTACATCAGAAAAAGAGACTTGGTCAATCCATGAGGAGTCATTGTTGCTACGAACTTAGCGGTCTGTCCCTCGGTGATCTGTCTTTCGTAAGCGTTCACAACACGGGGAGCACTCTTTAGCAGCTCTTTCCGATCGATCCAGAAGAATTCAGTCAACGGGTGATAGAGGAAGTGAACCTTATACTGTATGTTCCTCCCTCTACCCTCGTGAGATACGATTCTGTCTATCTCATGGCCGCCATCATTAGGGCGAGGTATCATAGGGTCCCGGAAAGGAAAAGTCTCATCATCAACGTGCGGAAACAGTTTGGACGCATGAAAAACTGGATATGTGCGCAGGTGAGGAGGCACGTCAATTACAAATGAAGGGCCAAAATCATCCCCAATCACCTTCAGAATCTGCCAAGGGCCGTAGTACAAAGGAAGGAGCTTTCGTGATACGCCCTCTTCGTCAGAGAACTCAGACATTTTGACCCAAACATAATCCCCTACTTTGAATTTCTCTTCTTTGCGCATCTTATTGGCATGTTTGATCATGGCATGYTGGCRCTTGTTCATGGCTGCGATCACAGTTTTGAGCAAGCGTGCGTACTTGSCATTGTAGCCAGGCATGYCGGGCATCAGACCAGGTGACCGTTCGGGGAACAGATAGGAGAGGGGATTGCGCATCGRCCATCCATAYTGCAGCTGGTTTGGTGTCACACCAGTTGCAGAGTGAATGGAATTGTTATACAGTCCCTTTACCTTGTGCAGCTCCTTGTCCCACGAGTYCTGATCTGGAACAATCAATGYGYGGAGTAGTTGGATGACAGTCTGGTTGATCTCCTCAGCCAATCCATTGGCTTCGGGGTGTCGACCAGAAGTCTTGTTCAGTTTAATGTCATAGATCTGCGACGTGAAGTCCTTCCAATCTTTGCTGATGAATTTGGTGTCCCGATCACTCACAATAGTTTTCGGGACGCCAAACTGCAGAATGTACTGCCGATGGAATTCCTCAATGACAAGTTCAGTTGGTGCATGGGGAGGGAAAGGGATCACATTCAGAAATTTGGAGAAACGATCCACGATGACCATGACCTGTGAATTCCCTGCTGTACTCACCTTTCCCATGTCCGTGAAGTCGATGGAGATCGATTCACCGGGTCCATCAGGAATGGGGAGGGGTCTTAGCAGGCCATAAGGCTTATGCCTGTGGACCTTGGTTCTYTGACATACCWGACATTCARCAAYAAATTTMTGAGCAGATCCTTTCRTCCCTGGCCAATCAAACTGCTGCAGAAGACTTCCATAAGTCTTCTCAAASCCGAAATGTCCGCTCCGACCATGTGCCAAATCCAGGAAATGAGTCCGGAGAGGCGCATGGTTGGGAACACACAAACGATCAAACTTTCCGTACCGGCAGAATACAAGACCCTCGCATTCGTGAAAATCAGGCTGACTGTTGGGGTCAGCCTTGAGCTGCTCAAGGATGGGACTGAGGTCCGGATCCTTGGAGGTGTGTTCAACCAGATCCTCCTTCAGTTTCCTTCGGAGGTCGTATGAACCCACAAGGCAAGTCAAGAATTCAGGATGGCGGAACAATGCATCAGCAACCCGGTTATAACAGCCTTTCTTATGTTTCAACTCAAAACTGTAAACATCAATGTCATGCAACCAGCGGGTCAACGTAGGAGAGAGTTTAGATTGTGTTTGAATCCACTACAAGGTCTGATGATCAGAGTAGACCTTGAAGTGGCGACCCAAGAGGTAGTGCTTC